CCATCAGTTTGGACTTTGAACCTTTATTGTCTAGTTTTTCCAATCCTAAGTTTCTACTTTCCTAGTCCTAATCACTAACATATCATTCTTCCTTAACATTTCTATAGCAATTAATACATCACTTTGTGAGCCACCATTTATAGCCAACATTTCATTTCAGGTCCGGGATGGCAAGAAAGTAAAATTTTGGCAAGATGCACGGCTGGGTCACTCCCCTTTAAGAGACCAGCTTCCAACCCTCTTTAGACTTGCAGAAAATCCTGAAGTTTCTATCTTGGAGACTCGTACACAGAACAGAGCAAGGTCAGAACATCATTCTCAAGAAAAAAACAAAAATTGGGAAATGGACAGCTTTTGTTCACTGCTTCTTCAGCTGAGCATCTTTCCACCTCCTCAACCTAAACCTGATTCACTGATCAGAAGAGGTCACTTCAAACAGACATTCTAGGTAAAATTGGGCTAACATACCCAGCAGCTCAAGTACTCTCAATACTAATTGGCAATTGCAGTGCATCTGGGAAAATAAAGCCCCTCCTAAGGTAGAGTGTTTCATTTGGCAGGTGGCCAAAGAAGCAAACTTAACACATGAGAGCCTTCAAAGTAGAGGTCTTCGTATATGTAGCAGATGTGCCCTCAGTGAGGAGCAAAACTATGATCCAAACCACCTTTTCCTTCACTGCAGCTGTACCGCCAAGATCGGGAGCTTCTTATTCAACATTTTGGGGGTCAACAGGACCCCCAAAATGCCTAAGCCAAATAGGGATTTCTACTAAGCCGCCATGGAGAAGATGTTCGAAAACAAGAGGTGATGGTACTTGCTACCTCCCACCAACACAAGTACCGAGTAACTCTGCCTATCAAAACTCTGACGGAAAGAATTCACGTCTTAGCCTCTACTAAGATTTGAACTTTGGTCTCCCACGGTTTCCATCTCACTTCATTGACCGTTATGCCACACCCTTGGATGTAAGAAACCATTCAGTATCTTCTCCCAGAATTGATAAATGCACACCCCAATACCAAAACATACCTGAGCCGACGACTATGTACATATACACTTAACATGAAAATCAACATGATGTAGATTGTTGAAAGAAACATGAGTTCCACATGCCAAAAGAAAACAAAATTAGCAATCATGTAGTTTCATCTTCCTTTTATCCACAGAAGATCAGCTACCACATCATTCGGGTGAAAAGATATGATCATAAAGAAGCTTCCTCATAATTTGTGGTATAGGAAGTACTCTAAACAAGCAAACATACTTACCATGAGAGGATTCAACATCAAGGATAAGGTCAAGTGCATAGTCATAATACGGCACTTGACTGCTCAATCCACAGAGATTAAAATCATCCTGAATGTATTCGTCATCAACTTCACAAAAGAACTCATTTCCACGCAGGTTACAAAACCAAGAAATCCACGATGTATCTTCCCCATCAGAACCACTAACATCAGACTCTTCACTGTCTGTTTCAGATTCATCTGCAAACGACATAATATTGGGTACACCCATACTTAGCTTGAAATGCAATGGAGACAAAAATGAAATACCTAGGTCTACCTAGTATGCCTCACTACAATAATATTAAGAATTTCATATAGAAAAACTAGTTTAAAGCTTCTCACGAGCCAATATCATGAACCATTTATCAAAAACAAAAGAAAAAAATATGATGAACCAACGGAAATGGTACTTGAATGCTGATCTCAAAGGAGTAGTAGAATTTCAGAAATAAACTGAGTCCAAAGGTTTTGCAACCGAATATATTAACGACCTCTACTACCAGCTGTAACTCTACTGCATTCTCTCTGGTGTAAATGCAATTAAACATTAAGATGCAACTATGTGTAACAATGCTACATGTACTCATGGAAGATGGAACCTAGCAAGCAAGTCCGAGCTTCTGATTGGATACCACAAAGCATCATAAGCCACTAATAATAATGGACCACAGAAAGGATATTCCCTGTGAAGTTTTTCCTTCACCCAAGTGAGATCCAAATTAGCTCGATTGCAATTTGAGATAACGCACAAAGAACCTCGCAGAATAAGAAGATGCTCACAACTCTTCATCAAAAGAAGATGGTCACAACTAGTCCATCATTCACCCTCTTTGACACTTGATAATTTTTTCCTGAACACATTCCATGATGCTCTTTACAGAACAAGCATATTCTATCGTATTCAAACATGTAAATCACATCTTAGCCGAAACAGAAAGCAGCGCCAACTCTAAAATTCTTGAAAATGTGCCAAAGAAGACCCTAAATATATCCATCTAAGAAGAAAAGGATTCTGAAGAGCCGTAAAAGTTAAAACAGCTTTTGAATTTACCTTAACAATTAACAAAACTGAGTTTTATGCTTACCACTGTTCTCCTCACCTCCCCACAAGTGGATTCAAACTCAAAATAACAAAAATATCATATTTTCACATCTCCTCAAGATGCCCGCAACTACAAGGCAAAAGACCAGAATACCACATCAAACTTAAAAGGGTTATTATTTTTTTTTTTATAAGGTCTTAAAAGGGTTATTATCCCGGCATGAAATGCTTCCCAAATCCCACCAAACTACGCAGCTAGACGACCAGAGCTAGAGTGACATATACAGTGCGCACTCTTCTCCTTGCATATCTGTAAAGAGGCTTTTTTACACGTTTCATAAACAGGAGCAACTTTGTAGCCACCTCTCGCCCTCACTACAACATCAAACTTAAAGCCTAATATATTCTAGCCTAGCAGTAGAAAAATCACAAAGACAGTCACTTTACAACATTCGACAAATTAAAGAATATATGTTAAAGACTTAAAGCTAAAGCAGCATCTAGCGGATCTACATTCCATTATCAGGAGAAAATGAATAATTTACCATTGTCAGGTACAATATTACCCGATTATCAGCAAATTTAACGCATTCAACTATAAAATAATTCTTGTTTTTTGTGGCGCGAACATAGAAAATGAGCAAAAAAAACATTTTTCCCAACGAAAAAGGAATAAAAGCCTTACCATCTGAGCACTTGTTTTTCGTGGCGCGATGATCGAGATGCTGCTGATGCGATTTTCCGGCGGAGGTAGAGGGAACAGCCTTATCCTTGAAGGCTCTAGATGTGGAAGGTGAGGATTTCTCCAAGTGCTTATCCAACGCATCGTTAATTCGTTTCCGATCCAACGGTCCACCAACGATCTCCGACTTCGATGAACCGCCACCTCGATCCCTGTACATTTCTCTCTCTGTGAATCTATCAGTTGTACATGTATATGAAGCTGAAAAAACCCTAAAATCGGAAATAAATGTAACTGGAGAGAGAGAAGAGTGTGTGTGTTGTGTGTGTTCGCAGAAAGTGAGTTGGAGAGACGGAGATAACTAGGGTTTCGTCGACATTTGAGAGAGAGAGATGACAGAAGAACTCCTCTGTAATTCGCCTTTTTCTCTCTCTTCTTCTAATCTTTTCGGTTTTCTTTATTGTTGAATCTTTTTCTCTTCCTCTTATTTTTCTTTATTTAATTAATTAGTGGTACTATATGTTTCTAATTAATTGTAATTTTTGTTGACAGTTGAATGTTGTTAATATACTTTTCCTTTTAATGGTAGTATGGTTCTTTAGAAAATAAATACTTTCCACCGATATATTACTAGAAAATTAGCATGCTTGTTACCAAAGTTTTCTCATACTAATCGACTCATATTAATTAATTTCCCCATTGTATAAAACATAGTGTTATAATATAATCCGGGTACAAGGGTAAAGCTGTAGAGATATTTTATTTATCAACAAATCTTCTTCTAGTTATGGTTTTTCTATCTGGATCTTAAAACATAAAAGCTGCGGTTATATACATGTCTCTTCAGTTACCATTTTAATGTTTTCAATTTTTCACATTTTTATTTTGCAATTGGAATTAGGAATTTCGATAGGTTATATTGTTTGATTAATTTATATTTTTCATTAGAACATCAAAGCAGCACAACTTAGTTCTGCCCTTATGTGTACAAGAAAAGGAAACGATTTAATTGTATTAAGAATTTAAGATAAGCAATTAATTAGCGGTTCAATGTGAAAAGATGTGTCATGTGTTGCTTTCAATGTGAGTAACAAACTGGCTAATTATTGGGATCGAAGCAATCCCTAATTTTCAATAATGTGTCAATCTTAACTGGACATTAAATCAAAGATAGATAAAAAAAAATGTTAGAACGAAACTAATAAGGGCTGTTAATACGTGACACACACAGACATATAGGTGATTATCACTTCCTTTAGTTGTATTTATGTAATTATACACTTTCATATGGAAAAGGTTAAAATCCAAAGATATCCATAACAGTGAAAATCAGGCAGTAGTAAGGTTTGGGAATTGGGACCAGAAATATTTGGATGTACAAGAGATGATAAAATTTCCCAGCATGGTAAATGAAAATGTGATCACTACAGAAACAGGCAACAAACAAACCAAAGAAACTGCCATTGTTATCGGGTTTACTATAAATTATAGCATGTCTGGCTAAGCTTCTCCAAATTCAAAAGCATTTTTTTTTCAACGTTAAAGTGTTTGGCTAAGCTTTTAAAAGATTAAAAAAAAAGTGATTTTGAACTGAAGCTGAAGCAGAAAAAATAGATTCTCTCCAAAAACACTTTTTTTAAAAGTACTTTTCAAAAAATATACTTAAAAGCGATTTTTAAATGCTTGGCAACATTAATTGCTGCTCAGAAGTGCTTTTCATATTAATTAGCCAAACACAAACTGATTTTCACCAAAAGTACTTTTCAAAAAAGTACTTCTCAAAATAAGATTATTTCTGTTTGGCAAGCTTACCCAGACTATATCCTTAAATATAATTCTAAGAAAAGAGAAAAAAAATTGTTTTTTTGGTGTGTATTTCTTCTCTTAAAGATTTTGTCAATTCAGGAACGAAATTGAATTGAATTTAAGCTGAAAGATGAAAGATTTCTACAGTATAGTGTAACAGTAGATTGTTGTTGTGTAAGTATTTTTAAATCGTTAGTACATAAAACTTGAATTTATTTACATATGTGGAGAAATAGTAGAACAAAATCAATCAAACAATTCCACAAAAGTATAGTCTTGATAGTAAAGTGTGAATGTAGCAAAGGAAACACAAAGTGGGAGAATCTGACAACCCAACTGAGTATTGACAAAGGAAGTTGTCTATTTGGGTGTCATTATTAGTGTTTGGGGCAGAATCACATGTATTCATTCTTGCAGTGAGCAGATAAAGTAGATCACCAAAAAATCTTAAAGCCTTTTAGAAGAAATAGGCTACCAACTCATCAAAGGGGATCCAGGTGCACAAAGCAGGGTTGGGAAAGGGCCGCACTGAAAGAAAGAGTGTAATGTAAACAGCCTACCTAATGCAAGCAGTAGTGGCTGCTTCTACGGCTCGAACCCGTGACCTTTAGGCTAGCAACTCATCATTTTGGTTAAATTGGCTACCATATCATCCAAATAGTCCCCACCTTGTCATTAGAAACTTTCATTTCTTTTTGAAGTTTGAGAGTAAGGATTGACAACAGTTTGAACTTAGGGTCAGCTGAGAGAATCTGCAGGTGCAGCAATGTATCACACTTCTCTTAGACCTTTAGGCTACACAACTCATCCAAAAAGGAAATAGATATAAGAAGAGCAGTAGCAAGTTGTCCCTGCAGAGTTAAAACACTCATCATTCTTTCAATAAACTTGCTGATTCTGTTCAACAATATCAACTTTCTCATTTTCGACGTAATGTACCACCCCTCACATATGCATATATTCAATAGACAGACACCATTTGTAAATAATATAAATAAACATTAATTTGAGACAAGAAGTAAAACCTTAAAACAATCACTCCTAGACCCAAACCCACTTACAGGTAAATAAATATAATAGGCAGACGCCGTTTCTGTAAAATGCTGAGTATGCTACTGAAGCTCAGGTAAAACAGGCACTAATGAATTGTCTCCCTTTGCCAACTGTTCTTTCTACTAAGTACTTCTTTTCTTTTCATCAATAGAAACACTTCTGTCAGAAAGAGAAACACCAGCAACAATTTGGATATTAACCAATAACGGCTGCTTAACATTTTAACAATCTGTAAAATGCAAGCAAAAGAACTCGCCTAAACAACAGAAAACAGCAGAAAGTTTCTTGGATTCAAGTATCAACTCGATAAAGACAGCTAGCTAATAGGATCTTTTTTCTTTTTTTGATGATAGGGTAAAGAGACTGCTATCTAATAGGATTGTCCAACAATCACTAATCATAATGATTAATTTGTTTTAATCACGTTGTATGCCCAGATACTTATAAGTTGGAACTTCTAAGAATTTGTAAATTTTTCCTCCCAAACGAATATTAATTTATTGGATGATTGCAGTTATTGAGACTACATTTCCAGACAACAGGAACAATATCTACTCCCATGGCTGATTACTAGAGAGCATTAAAAGTTATAACACGACATGTTGCTACCTAATTAAAAGAGTTATTTCTGACAAGTTCCTCTTCTAAAAAGTCATCAAACACTCAGATTCTTATGAAGAGGCAGCAAAAAACAAAACAAAATTCAAATACCACTACTCAATTATGGTAGCTAAAAATCATTTCTACAGGTAGAACTCAAAGAAGGCTGTTCAAGCACGACAATTAAATCATAGCAATCAGCATAACTAGATTGAAGATGAACATCAATTACTTCTACCTACATTCGTACGCAAAACAAACGCAGAAATCAATAACAGCTCTTAACAGCCATGCTAACAAAGAACCAAAAGTTGAATTTTCGATAACTTTTCCCTTTTGGACACAAGTACAGCAACAGCCAATGCAACTAAAGAAGAATCATGTCCAATGTCCATACATAGCACATGATTGATCCCCCGCTATGCTATCTTGGAATCCCAAGAAAACAGCTTAATACAAGGGCGTCCATATCATCAAACAATTTTAATAGCCGACAAGTTCCCCGAAGGGGAAAAAACAAACTTTAGGACTTCTTTTATAAGAAAAAAACACACTTTATGACATTTTATTGCACTAGAGAGAAAGGGAACAATTCTTACAATTTGTACTAGAAAAAGAAGCTCCTCGATCTGCGACACCTATTCAAGAGCTGAACAACAACAAAATTTGACCATACACATTTTGGCCAATAGCAGCATTAAAAGGAGCTGTTGGTGATTAACTAACCAACCAAGGATGTTATGCATTTGTAAGTATATTAAATAATTTGTTGCATTTTTCTACAAGCCCCGGGGTACTTTCTTTCACTGCTTCTGGTTTCGCCATGCCAATTTCTCCGGCTGAGAGTAATGCAAAGTCTTATATAAGTGAGTTACAACTAAGAAGAAAGGTTTCATGATATAGCACCTTCTAGAGTATGTTGATCAAAGCCAGGTTGGAGTACAGTGCTTCTGCAGCATTTAGCTCGACTAGACTGGTGTTTTACCCAAAGCATAATCCTGCTTCTTGGAAGTTAGATCATACTTTTCCATATGGTTTGGCAAGCATAATACATATTTGATCTCTGTCACCTGCTAAAGGCTCTGCAACTCATAATATTTAGCAAGTTTCCTGAAAAGCAATTTGCCGCTTGTTGTGTCATTGAAGCCCTATAATCCAAGTTAGCCTTTAACGTTAAGTTGAGTATTGGCAAGCAACAGATATGTGTCCCATCAAGCACTCAAACCAGCCCAATTCTTGAAAGCAATAAGTGCATCCATTTTACTGCGATTTCTCCTTCTTAACTTTGAAACTCTGAGCTTCTTATGTTTTTCCATAAATGCTTGTTTATATCTCCATTTATCAACAAATATCTTCATCTCTTGAGATTTCTCCACTACCTGCATTACTGCATCAAAGAAGCCACCTTTGACCAACGCATACAGAAATGCGTCGACCAAGCTATTATCTAGTTTAAACTTCTTCTCCCCTTCCGTCGAAATCTTCCTTTTCACTTCGTTCCACAGCATCAGAACATTGAAATACTTCTCCGCTGTCACATATCCATTTATTAGAGAAAGATATGTCTGGTCATTGGGTTCAAACTGAAGGAAGGTCATTCTCCTGAAAGTCCTCCTTGCATCTTCTAGCCGTCCAGCCTTGCAGAAGGCATGAATGATGGAATTCCAATCATGTGTTCCAATTTCAATTCTAGGATCCTCAACAATCTCGTCTAAGAAAGCAGCCATGAGCTCAGGTCGATGGCTTTCTGTTAAACCAGTCATGATAGTCAAGTAACTCCCTTGCAAGTCAGGTATTCTTGCTTCTCTCATGTCCCTAAAAATAGAAAATGCAGACTGAAAATCTTGGCATGACATAGACGCTTCAATTAGGGCATCATAGGTCGCAACATCCAATTGGAAACCTAAACTGCTAATGTCTGTCACCAATTGAGCAGCTTCAGCTGTTTTTTGCTCTTTGCAATATGCCTTCAATATTGGCACGTAGACTCCAAGACCTAAAGAAGCTCCCTGAGCATTCATTTCATCAAATATCATGTGTGCCTTGACCAATAACCCGAGACTAACGCAAGCATTAATAACGCCATATCCAACAGATCTCTCAACAATCACTGATGGAGATTCCAAAGTCTGCGTTTCACCAATCAAAGTAGCTAAATCTTTTATGCTCCCGTTTTGAAGAAATCCAGTTACTAATTCACTATAAGTTCCTTCTCCCAAACATAATCCCTGTCCACCCGTTTCTCTTAAACCTCGAAGAATAGTTGCTGAAACAGAGCCCAAATTACCACACTTTACAAACCCGCTAACCAAACTACTAAGAAAAACCCCTTTATCCGTGAAACCAAATCCGTGTATTAAACCTTCTAGCTCAGCTATGTTCTCATTAAGACCCTTTAATGCATACAAATAAGCTAGCAACCCAAAACTACATTCATCAGGCCTAACACCCAAAACCGACATGGTCTCCACCACCTTCTCTGCATCGGTTATCGATTCGAGCTCACGACAACAACATTCTAGTGCAGCATTACAAGCTGCCAAACTAGGTCTCAAGAAATTCAACTTCTCATCACTAGCAATCCTACAATTCTCATTGAAAACTTGTAAAAACCCACTAAAGTTACCATTTTTCCTACAAATTTCGACAAGAACATCACCCCAGAGACTAAAAGGGATGAAAAATCTGTTCTTGAACATAGACTTAACCAATGCAAAAGCAGGGGCGGCAGTGTTAGCATCTCTCATTGATTTCAACAGAACATGTACAGTTTCAGGCTGTAACAATTCTTGTTTCTTCTCTAACAAGAAAACTACAGATGCAAATGCTCTTTTTATGTTATGAGTATCATTGAGTGATGACAAATGAGTGATGAGTGAATTGGTAAGTGACTTACTTGGGAAAGCTGAGTAATTTGAAAGAGTCTTGAATGATTTCCACGCTTCATCTGTGTTATTGGTGTTTATGGAAGTTTGAAGAGTGAATTCAAGATTGGATTTATGTTCTTGTGTTAAGGTTAGTGGGGTTTGGTCTTGGGGTTTTGTTGGGGTTGTAGAAGAAGGTGGTTGTGTTCTTTTTAAGGAGAAAATTGAAGGTTGGAGAAAAGAATACAAAGTGGGGATTTCAGGTTGTGAAGAAAAGGGTCTTTGTGAGAGAATACAGAAAGCTCTTCTCCACATTCTTGCTCACTGTGTCGATCGAGAGAAATGATGTATAACACGAAGCCCTTCGCAGGGGCAGTTTTAAGGAACAATCACTAATAAGGTCAAACATTTTTAACATTTCAACTTCTTTTAGATATAAAATTTTGATTATACAAATGTTATAACTTTAAGGGTTATTGTTCTATAAACAAATCAATTTTATTAAATCATAATTATGAAACAAATGTATGAATTTATAATACCTCATTCCTTTGTTTGCTTCTCTTTTTGGACAAGGAATTTTATTTAATTAGGAAGTAATTAGAAGGTACTCCCTCCGGTCCAAAATAAGTGATTTTTTGATCTTTTTTATGGTCCAAAATAAGTAATTTTTCCAGATTTCAAGAATGAATTAATTATTTTTTTCCTACATTGCCCTTGGAGTAAATAATGTTGGAGTATGTGATCACGCTCAACTGAGTCTCGCAAAAGACTACACGGGCATTGTAAATATAACCTGAGTATTTATGCCCAGAGTCGAACCACAGAGAATTAACCTATCAGTTACTATTGTCAGATTTACTAAATTCACACAATCTGTTTCCCCAAACTTTTTGATTCACAATGGTTGATTTTTCTAACAACTAAAGACTGAAAATAAGTAACAGCTGGAAATTAACTATGCTTGATGTGTAAACAGTTGGAATAAGGTCTAAGGCAATGGTTTCCCCCGTTGGTAATTTCCTTGGTTGTATATGTCTTATAACTATGATTTAGTTGTCTCTATCAATCATGAACGCTCCAGCTATCATAAATCTTTCTCAAGCAATTATGATAATTTACTAGACGCACTCTCTCAAGCTACGCTAGCTAGATTCACAATATGGTTCACTTAGATTGCACCCGAGGTATCGTTATCTCTAATCCAACCTCTAAACCCTCGGTTATGACTCTCGTCTATACTCCGGGAGTGATGTTGTTCATACAATCACCTAAATATGCACTCTCTCTCAAGTAGATACATAATAAATAGGAACGGATAATTGAGGTCTCTTTCAACTAACCACAATCAAAACATAGATGAACAAATAGAGATTAACAACCAAATCCAACTATATTAATAAAACAACCAAGTCATCCCCAACGAGTTCCGCCAAAACCTTAGATTAAGGTATTTAGCTACTCATAACAATGGAGGAATAAACTACTAGAAGATTCATAATCGAAGATTGCAAGAAAAATAAAAGAGAATAAGAATAATGATTTTTTGGGTGATCTCTCACACTTGTTTCTCTTGCCAAAGTACTCTCAAAAGTAAGCTTTACCCTATGAAAACCTTGATAATTTAACCTTGGGCGAGCTTGACTTTATATAGGTTAAGTGGGTTTCTCTCCAGATTTCCAATTTTACCCCTAAATAACTCTTTTCCGGACCGGCCTCGCGCATGCTCGCGCGTCACTTCACGCGTAACTTCGCGTGTCATTCTGCCTCAGCCCTTGACGCGCGCGAACTACTGCGTTAACTCGCGCGTCTGCTCGCGCATCTGGGCCATGATTTCTTCCATTCTTTGTCTCGTTCTTGCGCGCACTCAGCTCCGAGGGGTCGTTCTTGCTCATAAGTCATTCCAATAGCCTCTTGAAAGCATCATATAAGCTCCTCATCCTGCAATGTATACAAATCACGATTAAAGCCTATTTTTCATCAATTAACCATATTATTACGTTGGAATATAATCAAGCGGAAGCATAAACAATAACTAAATCACCTAGATTTCGCCTATTATCAACACCCCACACTTAATTCATTGCTAGTCCTCGAGCAATCAAACTATACTCTCTAGAGAATCCTTCACTCAACCATTTCCCCTAACGCATTACACCTAGAATAATGTACATACATTACGCCTAGCAGTGAACAATCCTAGCCTCAAAGCCGACTCTCAAGTGCCATGCAATATTCACACTTCCTCAAAGTACTCTACACAGAAGTCAAGACTTGCTTTTCCGTCACGAATCATATGCCCTCACAATCACATCAACAAAAACTGAGTTCAATCCAACACATTCAATTCATATACTCACATATATCAAGGAAATCACTCACTCTCACAAACGAAGTCACATGCATGCAATTGGTACCATAAGCTTGCCCTTAATGTAAATATCTACTAATGTAAGCTTGCTCGACCCAAAATCAATTAGGACTTTTTCATGGTTGTAATGTGGGCTAAGGGACGGGTAGGATACATTTAGGAATAGTGACTAACCCTCCTAAGCACTTTAACACATCACATGAGCAATTTTTAGCGCAAATTTTTCAACCCACTTCTCATTCACAAACAATATCATCACACAAATACTCCCTTCTTCTTTAAGCACTCTATTAATTCATACCCACTAGCTGGAACAAGACACAATGTATTCATCTCTTTTTTTTCCAGTTTATTCTTCTTGTCACTCAATTTCCGCTAGTGGTGTATTCGTTTACAAAACAAGTGCACCTTTCATCCTTTTATTGGTTCCACTCAAAAGCCACCCCACACTTATTTCCTTCTTACTTCTTTTAGCGCTCCTCTCACAATTAAAGTGCTTTAAGAGGTAAAAGGATCAAAACAATGTCAATTAAGAACAAAAGGGTATAGGCTTGTAATGCGGGTGCCAAACAAAAGTCTAAAGGCTCAAAAGGGTTAACTAGGGACAAATTTTATTTGTGATAAGCAATAAAGCTCAAAAAGGTCAAAGAAAGCCTAAAATCATTTTTCAAACCGAGCATCACCTAAGATTTCGCTTCAACTCACATACCGGGCAAGTTCTAGACACAAGTACCATACATGGACTACACAAACACTCACCACACATGGCATATGACTCATTCAGATCAGCTCATCAAGACGCTCCGTTACGAGCATTCAATTCAGTAACAAACATACAAATTAAGGCACTTTCAGTGAGATTCAACAATTAGGACTAAGCGTTACACTCTAGGGTCTATTGTGTTTAGGTGTATCAACGCTATGGGTTATCTTTCAATTTTATAGTTCGTAGCCCATTACCCTAATCTACAAATAAAAAAAAAGAAAACAAAATAAAAACTACCTATGCCCGGTTCAAGCTAAACCCTTGGAAAAGAACCGCGGCCTAAAGAAAAACCAAGGGGGAGTTGCTACACTACCTAAGAAAAAAATAAAAAATCTTTTTGGTGTTTTCTCTAGACTAACTTCCCTCAAGAAAATCGTCTAAAAGATCCGTCATCAGGAAGAGCCTACAATTTTTTAGTTTTTTTTTTCTCGAGTCAGTCCCTCAAGAACCCCATCGAAAGGGATCCGTCGTCGGGCCGAGCCATTTATCTAAATTAACAAACGACTCCTACTCAACAAAAACTATCAAGTCAACATGAAACAAACAAAACAAACAGTTAATTTATACAACTACATACAACATACAATGAAGGAATCCCCACCCCACACTTAAAAATGAAGACATGTCCCCATGGCTTAAAATTTAAAAGAGCAGTGAGGTAAAGGGACTTCCCTGAAGCTTCACTCCTGGTCGGAAACGGTTTCGGGGTTCACGTTGCACGCACGCCCCAGAGCTCGCAGCCAACCCATGAACTTCTTTTCCGACTTTACTTGTCGGTCAGCTATCGCGTCCACACGAGTGCCCAATGCGGTGTACCGGGACACTCTGGCAGTTCCTGAAGAGGACGCTGCTCCTGACGGTGCTGCTGGGGTTGGCTCCACGTCCATTTGTTCATCCTCTTCCTCCTCCGATGCATCAGAACCACTCTCATCCTCTCCACCTGCCGCTGCCGCTGGGGCTGGCCCCGTGGTGTTCTTGCCAGGTTGGATCTTGTGGTTTTTTTTACCAGCCCGTCCACACGAGTATTTTCAGGCACCTGTACTTGCCTGCAAAGCTTAGTCACCAAAGAGGGGAAAAAGAACCCATACGTGCGTTGGGGGCACCGGATAAACATTTCGTCGTGGATCACTTTGGCCATGTCGAAGGGAAGACCCTTGATGAAACACCAAATCAATGCAGCTCGGGGTCCATTCACCTCCATAGTATTTTTGGAGGGAATAAGGCGACTGTTAATCATATACAACCAGCTCTTCGCCTCTGGAGTTAAGACGGAGGAGTGGAACTTCTCTCCGTGTTCCAGCCACTCCACCATTTTTCCGGGTGCGCAAATTTCATCAAAGAAGCGCTCCCACTTGGCATATGTTGGCTTTCGCCCATACTCATAAAAGTCTGTATTCTCAGGCAGAGGGTCGGGCAATTGATATGATGTGCGTATCGCCTCAATGGAGGCATCCACCGCCTTGCGGCGCACCGTGACCACATTGTTGACATGCTCTGGCAGATTAGCATAGAATTCGCGCACAACCATTACATTAGCCTCCCCTGGCTCATCAATGAAGGCCTGCAAACCCCGCCCCATCAACTCCGAATACATGTGGGGGCATCGTTCCTTGACCTTTTTGATGTCAATGCCCCTCTCCGGAATTGGCTTTCTTGCAGCCTTCTCCATAAAACGGGTCTGAGCCTCAGGTGAGACAAATTTGCTGTTGTCGTAGGGACGTGCAGGGGCTACCCGTTGAGTCCGAGATGTGCCAGCTTGGCGGCTTGATGATGGACCTGTGGCTTGGCACTTTCGCGATGGTGCCATAATACCTGCAAAACGTGAACACATTAGCTCAGCCCAACAAAAATATTGTGACTTAATGCGGTTACTCAGACTTTACACGCAAAATTGGTCACAACTACATAATCACGTTCATTGAGACCTTTCCACAAACACCTTGTGGGCAGTAGGCTCTCACAACTCTTTTCTAAGTGTCTTGCAACAAGGGTCCCCCACAAAATCTCATACATAGCCCAATTCAAGTACCACCCGCCCCACACTTACCACAAACCAACCCCACAACATATTTCACCAGTTACTACACAACATCTAAGTACAACTCCTACAATAAGCATAAGAATACAACAAACAAATCTGAAAATTAAAGAAAGAAAGAAAAAGAGAAGAGAAAAAAAAAATCTAGGGCTCATACCTGTGGTGAAGGG